TGTGTGTGCGGTCTGCGTCACTCATAGCACGTGCCTATATCGTGCGCTATATCGAACATTTTTTCTGTCGATATCGAAGAAGGTGTACCATCGATAAATATCGATACCGTTTTATCGCCCAGGCCTATTTTACGGTCACTGATATATGCTCATCTGCTCTAGTCAGGATCACGGCGGTACCTCCTATGGGCTGTTTACTCCTTCCACAACCATCTCATAACTAACAAAACATCTTGATTTGGCACAAAGGCTCATGTGTTCAATAATAATCAAGATCTTAAACCTGATGCCTCTTTACAACCGTTATGCCAATATTTCAACACAACATACCAAGACAAAGACAAAGTATTGCACAAGACCCGGAGGGAGACGTCAGAGCGTGGGAGAAGAAAAGACAAGACCCTAACGCACCAGGGAGGATTCATGCTGTTCCTGTGAACTAAATGGGGAAGTACATCTCATTTCTATGAAGATATGCCTCATCAAGAAAACAAAAATGTAACCCTGGGTTATACAATGCCTTTCAACGGGAAGCTGGACTCCGCAAGATTTGATGTAACCCAAGGCTTGATTCATAAAGCAATGAATCAAACAGATCAGAGGTTATTTATTCTCTTGTGGCTGTTAAGACATGCCGTTTTGGAGGGGCTTTAAGGAAAAAGCTAATCCTTAATAATGATAAAGCATGTTTAACAATGAAAACTAATTCCGGCTATATAGTGATTGAATTATGAGTAGTACAATGCTCTTCATATACCTTCAGGGTCCAGAAGCATTCACCAAGTTCCTATGCAAATAAAAACTAGATTTGGTGAGCTGGCAGGCAGCTGCCCAGTATCTTTATTAGGAAATACAATTACAGGATTAAAGAACAATTGATGCCTCAATAGTGATTAAAAATAAAATAATAGGTAAAACATCTGTTGCAATGCTCACATTCTCTCACTTTTTCCTAAGTGAAAAATTTGGCATCAGAAGTTCATTTATAAGTTGGATAGCGAATATTGCTTGCATTAAGCCACCAAAAACAAAAATTACAGTGCACAATTACTACAAATATTTATGGTCTCCATTCTTCTGCCACTGAAAAAAAAGTGTAAATCTGTGTATCCTTCATATCTACAAATCCAGTGACTGAGGTAGAAACTACCATGTTGATTAAGTACACTGTATGCTGCTAAGGTACAATGAAAGCAATCTTGAGCAATCAAACTGCCATTTGCTTGTGACAATTTATCAAACATGAAGACAGTCCATTTTGAGTTCACACAGGGATTTTTTGAAGCAATCTGTGCTCTGCAATCAAGAGTTTTACCAAATTGCAACACACAAATTAAAGGACTGCTGTGCTTGGAGGTTCAAGAAAAGTATGATTAAAAATCAGCATATTTCAGTTGCTCACTGCGCAAATGTGCTCTGGATCAACTGACTTGAACAGTTCAAAGCATTTTGCATAACGGTGTGTGCCGCTCTCTCTGCGGGTAAAAGAGGCCTCGTCCTACTCAGCAGCATTCAAAGGGTCAACATCTGCCTTATTCTGCATTAAATAAAGACATCAGCTTGTAGCCAAGGGGCCGCCAGAGATGGCCCGCCTGTTGCCGACACACTTGCATGAAAATTTTAATTCAACCTGTATTTATCTGAAACTAGTTAGAGACAATGCACACCGTTTTGCATATTGCAAGCAGCCTATTTTGTGAGGTGAAAAAAAATCTAATTTTACAAGTGATTTGAAAGGCAAATTGTGCCATTTCTGCATTCTGACACAAACCACCTCTAAATACAGCACTTTGCAATGCAATATTTATACCTCACCAGTCATGCAATTTCTTAGCTCCTTTATTGTAATATAAAACAGCAAAATCTACACAACGGGTGTGGTCTGTCATTCATCTTGACATAAATCTTTTAAACATCCATTTGTGTCATAACGCTTCATGAGAGAGGTTGTTCAAGCCTGTGCGGTGTGTGGTTAAGGTCACATCCATCTCACATGACTCAGACTCAGTGGGACCTCCTGAAACAGGTTAGACTAGGCAGGTTCACGCACCTGGATTGCATCCAAACACACTGCATGCTGATTAAAAAACTGGGACATAAAAGACAGACAAGTTCCCACAAGTGACAAAATGACAAATTGAAAAGCGAAACAACTTCAAAATGCCATTGAACTTATGATGAGTTTCTCATACCAAAGCCAACGCAACACATTTTGCCACGAGCAACAATAAATGATTGCCCTAAAGTTGAATCTATAATGAAGTTTCCAGCAAGCCCAAAAATTAACGTGCCGATAACATTTCAAAGCAAATAGGAGGGTTGGACTGAGTCCAAGCAGCTCACAGATATCCCAATAGAGAGATGAGCATAAAGGCAGACTGCTCTGCTCCTCAGCTGGCAGAGGATGCAAGCTGAGATGAATTCATCTTCACCGCTGCCGATGGGCAGAGGCAGAGTGCTGAGTAACACAATACCACTAGAAAAACAATGGAACAGTTTAAGAGAAGAGCTTGAGTTGGAGATGAAAGATTCATGATCACACATGGTATCTCTTCCACCAAACAGTCACTGCTGGATTGTGATTGGTTACTGGAATTCCTGCAGCCCCGAAATGGAGCTGAAGCAGACCAAATGGTGTAAGAATCTCAAACAGTCCAAATGTTTTCCACACAGACTGGAAAAAGGCTAGTCTTTTACTCGGATTGAGTCGGATATACCTGTTTTTTATATTATGAAAATGCATGCCTTGGAAATGTAAATGTATGCAAAAAAATAATAAATTGCCACAACCACTGACATTTTTCTTTTAGATACGCGTGATGTTCCAATCTCATCTGATTTCTATTGAAACTGGAACTGAATGGTGACAAAACAACACCATGCTATATAATTTGTGCAGAGATGAGGAAACTGTATGAGACTTCTTTAAAACATTAAACAGGAGGAAAAACTTTCTCTCTTCTTGAATTGATCTCTTTAATGATGCCATGTAAAAGACAAAATAACAATATTGGCTGAATCTGGTCTAAAATATGCCATGGTTGGCATTTCATACATGTAAATTCCAGAAAACTAATAGTTTCTGATGTGAAGAAATCACAGGCAGCTTTGATAAACGAAAGTTAAGAGCTGTGCTGTGCCAAATCTGTCATCAAATGCTTATGTAAAAGAAATGAGTAGAAAAGATAACAAAAGAAAAATACTTCTACTATGGAGATCAAATCCAGAGGGTTCACTTAGCACCTGATTAGGCGGATGCCAGCAAAACCATACTTCATTCAGTAATATTTCTAATGAATGAGCATTTGTCTTCCTCCATCCCCGTTAAAGCCTTTGCAGTGCAGCGTGCAGTAAATCCAGCTGGAAGTCATCATTAATTCAACTTTCCATAAATCCCTGAGATACAGGGGAAACTCGAGATGAGAAACACATGCGAGAAGAATGGAGACAGGCTTGCCAGTGGAACTGATAAAAAGAGGAAAGGAAAAGTTCAAGCCTTCCCAAATGTGATCCAAACCCCCACACTAACCACGTCTGTGCAGGATCAGGGGACGCGAGAGGGCAGAGGGCTGCTGACGTGACTGAACTGAGGCAGATGAGGGCAGTGACGGTGCCACTGCTAATCCTGATGGTATGATCACCGGTGAAAGAATCTGACCTCAGGTCAGACGTTCAGCGCTAATGTGGATGATTTAACACAAATGCACTGATTATGATGGTATAAGGAGGGAAAAGTAACTACTTCTCAAATTACAAGTTTAATCACCAATATTTGAGGCTTTATCACTGTAAATGGTCTGCTAAATGAAAAAAAGAAATGCAGTCGAGCTAGAAATGTAGGTAAAATCATTCAAATCACATGGGTTTTGAGAAGATACATTGAATGCATTGTACTTTGCTTTGGATTACAGTATCAGTCATCTAAATAATTACTGTATAAAAAAAGAAAGGAAAAAGAAAACACAAAAGTTTTATGAAACAACTTCTGATTCTTAATATCATTTGAAGACAATTATATATATATATATATATATATATATTTCACAATTAGTAATAAAAAAATTATAATTATTAATAATATATAAAATGTTAAAATACAAAATATGATAAATTTATATTGAAATTTATATAGCATATTTTGTTTGTCTGAAAGTATAGTACTGTGTCAGAATGAATATAAATGCAAATATACGTAAAAATTGCAAAAGGTTTGTGAAATTTGTGAAATTCCAAGACACAATAATAACTTATGATTCTTAATATCATTTTAAGGTCATTCAGTTTAAATAAGCAGAATATATACTGCTTATTCTGAAAGTAATAGAGCATCTGTCTTCATGTAATATCACTTAGAACTGTTTAAGAGTAAAACTAAAAATTAAAGGCGTGAATTGACATTCAGACTAATCAACAAATAATTAATCCACTATGAACGAAAAATGAAGAAAATAAAAGTCAAGAAATGTATTGTATTTCAACACACCTCTGTGATATCATGTGACAATCAGATTAAACCACCACAAACATTCATTCTGGCCACAATATTCAACTTACCTGCTTGAAATCGGCCACAAAAGTTATAAGAGTCCCATCTCCCTGTTTAAACTCCACAGTGATGGAGTCTCTCTCACTGTCCGCCTCCAGAAGTTCATCTGTGATCTGTCCATCGGCCAAACGAACCCTCACCTTCAGCTCTGAAGCAGACCCGAGAGTTACTGACACCGTGAGCAGCCAAAGCAAGAGAGTTAACCGAACTGAACCCGGCGAAATCCACCTCGCAAACATTCCAGATAATCCTAAAACTCAAAAAGCGAGCTCAGAAGGAGAATCCACGGGAATAACAGTCGCTGATGCGGTTCGACTCATCCCACAAGACTCTTCAGACAGATCTCCTCAAAACATCACAGCGGCTCCACTTTTACTACTTCATCCATATTTTGTGGAAGCTGGATATACAAAAGAATTCATAAAGTCCTTTAAAACAGGTCTAGAGACTGTTCACGTTTGGTAAATAAACATTTAGGAGAGCCGCGTCACGCACGGATCAATCTGGTGTTTGCACTCGTGTCGCGTCTCTCATTGAGGGAACTTTGATTCGTGAGCTTCTGTAGACTCGTGCTCATGCCTCTGACGCTCGCCTTCATTCAGTACAGTGCGCTTCACGCTGACTTCAACCAGTTTCTGTTTTTCTCCTCTGGAGTTTTTTCTCTCTCTCCTAGTATTGCGGATTCGTCACTTCCTTCATTATCCAAAGTGCAGCAGTCCAACGGCCTCCCAAAGTTTCGCAGGCAGCGCTCGCTCGGAAACTCTTAAAGGCATAGCGCCCTCTCAAATAACAGCCTGATTAACACGCAACTCCTCAGATACATTTCTAGCACTAAACTCTTTGTGTAATGTAGGTAACTTATATATCATATTCATTAACAAAGCAGAAAACATATTTGTGTATAAATCTATATTAGGCTATATTGTTTTATTTCATATAGCCTAGGAGAAAAGTCAGAAACTTCTAAATCACACTCAAAGTTACATGTTTCTTAATATGATTTGATAGTAGATTTACAAGACAGGTAGATCATGTGGGGATATTTATGTTAGATTATTTTGATTTATCCAAAATATATAGTTCTTCAACTTTGGGTACTTTCATGAGGGACATGAGGGGTACCATTTTGTGTTTTTGTGGTCACATTAAAACTGACATACAGTATGTTTTCACCTTTCCCCAGACTTTCAATCTTAAAATATGAAAATCAGCCATGAAAAATATTAAGTACTTTTTAAACTATGGAAATCATACCACAGGAGTGAAAAAAACATAGGCTACATTTCAATGTCCAGCAAGACCAACATATTTAATTATTTTTGTTTGTTTGTGTTTATTTATGATAAATGGTAGCACTTTAACACTGTAAAGCCTGACGTATGAAATAACTGTCAGAAAAATCGATTTTAAATGGAACAGTTTATTTAACCTTTAGACAAAATATTTATATCTAAAAAAAAATTGTTTTATATTGTATTATGTTTCATACATCAGATTTTTATGGCCCATATAGTGATATGGAGCCCACACTTGAAGAGGTAAAATGCCTAAATTTATTCAAAGCAAAAATATGCAGCTTGGTGCAGTTGTTGTCATTTGGCCAAAAAGTAAGATGAAATCTGTTACGGTGCGAAGGAGACGAGAGGCGTGCGGATCCATCTGCAGAGCTTTATTTACAACGTGATTACAAAACAAGCAAGGGTCGGACAATGGCAAACAGGCATATCATGGGCAAGTCAAAAGAGTAGTCCGGTAAACAGGCGTGGTCGATCTCCGGAGAACAATGTCCAAACAGGGTAATCCAAATGGGTAATCCGAAACACAGGCAATAGTTCAGGCAAGGGTCAAACAGAGTCCAAACAGAGGGCAAGAGAATAATCCAAAGACAGGCAAGATATCCAAAACCACGACTAGTAGTGATGTTACGTTCTGTGCCGAGGCTTCGGAGCATGTGTCGAGAAATCCCGGCAGCTTTCAGTGAAGCGTGTATCGAGGCTTGTATCGCTTTAGAGCAATGACGTCATTGTCTGTATAAGTCTGGTGAATTTTTATTTCGTGCTAACTTTAATACATTTCATTATCTGAATTGGATCTCTACAATAGGATAATGATTTCCATACACCAGACCTGGAAATGTTTACGAGGCGAATTGCCTCTTGAGGAGAAGGTCCTCCAGCTGTGGCTCATCAGAGCTCTTATTTCCAGGTGATGTGTTTCTTACTGGGTGGCCCAAGTATGTGACCTCCTCAGGGAGCACATCACCGCTGGGCACATGTGCTGGAGAGCTTCACTGGAGGAGAAAGCAAACAGACAGACTATGGGCTTGAGTAAACACTGTCAGCTGGGTCAGGACACTGGTCAATACAGGTGACAGATTGGAGGGAAGTTCAGGTAAACATGGCCTTTTGTGACTGGCTAAGCTAAAGCATTTACAGCTTTGGAGGAGGTAAAAGAGACAGCGAGGGTGGATCTTAGTCAATGACATTTGACCAGCTGTTACTCCCTATTTTTGTTTTGAATGTTTACATCGTTTTGCAGTTACATACTGTATGATACACATTGTCTATTTTAATTGTAATGTAAAATGTATTTAGTGCGAATGTAAATGTATTCAAATTATCATGACATCTTTGTCGTCTGACATCAGAGTTAGACAGACAATATTTTCTTGCTTTACATAATTGTTTTTCTGGAAATCATGCATACAGTGTTTTCAAGTTTTGTAGTACAAAGTGACATTTGGCGTCCTGGTAAGGTTATAGTGTATAACTTTTGTAAATCATTAACAAGTCATTCTCTAATTTACCTATCAGATGCTTACACACACACCACACTGCTACACTGGAACAGCAGGCCATTGTTTCAAGACTTTTCTGATCTTTTAAACTACTAAAATGTGTGTAGAGCTACAAAAGTTATTTGTCTATGGTTGGACAAAGAGTGGACATTTGACACTTTCTGTTCTTTGGGTACATTGGCACCACTAAGCATGGAATAATAACACATAAAAACAACACTAAAATGTGTCTTGTTCAACTTTTGTTGTTGTATACCAATATAATTGGTGGAAGTTTCTTTTAATATGATTCATCACATAAAAAGTGACTTACGTAATGTGCTTCCACTTATGGTGTGATGTGGCTATCAACAAATAATGATATGAAGACTGATTCATATCCTTCGTGTGTTGTAAAAATTTTATCTGAAATGTTGACATGTCCTAAAGGACATGTATGCAATTTATAAATTATAAATGAGTTATATGGTCAGGGTATAGCAAAAATGTATCTTTTATTTTAAGTAGATTTTAAATATTTAATATTTTTTATTCTTTTTAAAACTGTTTTTTGAGTTAAACATGGTATTTTGTATTTTCCCATCCAGTGCTGGGGAGTAAAACGAGCAACAAGGAATAGTTTACCCAGAAATGAAAATTCACCCTCAAGTTGTTTCAAACCTGTATGAGTTTGTTTCTTCTTTTCAACACAAAAGAAGAAATTCTGAAGAATGTAACTGAACAGTTGCTGGTAGCCATTGACTTCCATAGTATGGAAAAAATTTGTTCACATTAGTGGAAATTTGCAGGCAAAAGTGTCCAGTAGGGATGTATACCACTCACACAGAGGTTACTTTCAAACCAGCAGCTTTCTTTTGGTTAATATAGTGAATCTATGTGACCAACTTGAACTTGTTGTAAAATCTGTGTTGGGAAAGTTTTTGCACTTGCATGAAATTCACGGATGTGTGGATTCCTGTTGAAATGACTGGATTTTGTCTGAGAAAATTCACTGAACAATGGTAGATGTGTCTATATATTTAGGTGAATTTTTTCAGGCAAAGTATATGTAATATCAATAATGTAGCAATGCATGAAGCACTACTTAGAGGTCACTTCCTATCTAAGCATCTTTATATTGGTAAATGCTGTGTTTTTGCATGATGAAAGATAAACAAAATTGAATCATGGAATCCATGTGGTGGAAATGTTTCACCTCACACACCCCTAATTCTAAATTCTAAATTGTGCGGATTCCTATTGAAATTATTTTCACCTGCATAATTTTGACGCATTTTACAGCAATTTTACTTTGGTTCATAATTGATTTATTGATTCATTTTAAAGGGGTCATATAATGTTGCTAAAAAGAACATTATTTTGTGTATTTGGTGTAATGAAATGTGTTTATGCAGTTTAAAGTTCAAAAAACACATTATTTTCCACATACTGTACATTATTGTTTCTCCTCTATGCCCCGCCTTTCTGAAACGCGTCGATTTTTACAAAGCTCATCGGTCTGAAAAAGCGAGGTGTGCTGTGATTGGCCAACTATCCAGTGCGTTGTGATTGGCC